ATGGGTGGGTGTATATGGGGTTTGTGGGGGGCTGTGGATGTGTGTGTGTGTGTGTGGGGTTGTATGTAGATGTGGGTGGGGGTTTTTGGGGGGTGTTTGTGGGGATGTGAAGGTATGTGTGGGTGGGTATGGGGTTTGTGGGGGGCTGTGGGGTATTTGGAGGGGGAGGGTGGCTGAGGTGTGTGGTGGGTGGGTGTGTATGGGGGATGTGGGTGCATGTGTGTGGTGGGGTGTGTGTGTGTGTAGCAGTGAACAGGGCTCCCCCCAGAGGCGTGTGCATGTGGGGGGAGGTGTGTGTGGGTGTGGTGTTTGTGGGGTATATGATTCTGTGTGGGGGAGGGTGTGGTTGTGGTGTTTGAGGGGGAAGGGTTTGTGGGTATGGTGGAGTGTGTATGGGGACCCCCCATGTGTGCTCTCCTGAGCCAGTCAGCACCCACCCCCACCCTGCAACATCCTGGAGCCCGTGCACCTTGCAGTGCCTCCCCACCAGCACCAATAGCACGCAGCCCTTGCCCTGCCTCTGCTCCAGACTCACCCCTGCCAGAGTGGATCAGCCAGAACCCAGATACAGCCCTGACCTGGCCTGCTCCACACCATCCGCCTGTGGTGCATCCTGCCACCCCCTGGGCACATAGCGGGGCTGAGGTGGCTCTGGAGCTGGACTGCCTTTCTAGGTACCTCAGGTGACTGTGGCTCTTTCCACCTGCCACCACCTTGACTCCTAAGACATTCACAAATAGGTATGACCTACGCTCTTCATCTGTGGATGGATGACTGTGACCTTTGCTGTATTAAAATACATTTGCTGTATTAAAATACATTTTGACTGAGTAGGCATAACTTAGCAGGAGATTACTTCACTCTGACTGCCATCATTTATCACTCTGCCAATCTTTGCATCATCCATAAATGTTTAGCTGCACTGATTTTTATATTTACTTCTAGATCATCAAGCCAGCAAAAAATCTTTTTTCTTTAACTGCATTATCTCTACAGAATCATGCTTGAAGAGATATGTGCCTATGTGGCCACAGAAATGTCTTGAAGTAGTTAGCAGTGAAGAGAAACATATCATTTCCTGGAGGCATTGTATTTCAGAGACTGATGAAGATAGTACTTCAGATTTAGATTAGACATTAGGAAAAATTTCTTTACGGTGAAGGTTGCCAAAATCTGGAATGGGCATCCAAGGGAGGTGGTACTCTCGCCTACTTTGGAGGCCTTTAAGAGGATACTGGACAAGCACCTAGGTGGGGTCATCTGACCGCAGTGCTCTTTCCTGCCCAGAGCAGGAGGTCGGACTCGATGATCTACTGAGGTCCCTTTCAACCCTAAAAATCTATGAAATCTATATACTTCCTTACTCCACCCTGTAACAATGTCTCATTTTTAAGCACAAAGGAGTGTCACTGTGCTTCTATTGAGTTTGTACGTTAAGAAAACAAGTTACCATCTCTGTGTAACTAACCCCTTTGTCCTTCATTAGTTGTCTTCACTGGGGAATGTTGCTAATTGAATAATGATTGAAGTACTATCTTCCTAAAAACAACTACACTTGACGCAGTGTTGAGAAAATGGGATTTATGAAAATAAGACCCAAATTAAATGGATCAGTCCTACATATTCAGATAAGGATGTGCAATGGATGTGCGCTAGGGCTGTGCAAAGCTTCTGTCGCTTTGGTGGAGATTTGGCCCGATTTGGTGGCTGAATTGCCAAATCCAAATCGAATCAGGAGGCCCTTTGATCTCTCTGAATCAAATCAACCCTCCTAATTGATTCAGAGAGATTTGGAAAGATTTGGCGATTTGGATATAGACACAGCTTTGAATGTTTTTCCTACATACCTTAAGGTACCAGGCAGCTCATGAATGCTGCAATGCTGGGGCGGATGGAGCATCCCACAGGAGCATGGGGAACTCACCAGCGCACTCAGCAACAGACCCGGAAGTAAATGGTCCACCAACAATTCCAGGTCTTCCAGGGAACGTGCTGCCCCCCCCC